CTCCGAGCGCCTGTAGGCATCCAGGAGCCTGTGGTGCTGCCCCCAGCAAATACTGCCTTGCAGATTCTCTTTTCAGCTCTCCCTTGTTTTGGAGGGTTTGTGTCTTTGTTTCGGATAACAAATGCATCATAGGTTTTACATTGATGAGGTTCATTCACTTGTTAAATTCGTGCTTCAAGTTCACATAGTGGAACAACAAAACCACACAGGCCCCCGTGAATATGGCACATTGTTGAAATGCGCCTTTCTTCTTCAGGTTTTGGGCTCTGGCAATTGTCCATGTATGGCACTGCCCAGATAAACAGCAGTCTTTTGTTCTTCCTCTCAGTTCCTGCTAAACAGCATTTCTCCCTCAGTTTGCTGAACAATGCATGAAACTCTCCATGCCTAAGAGCAGAAGGAATACTTGGTTCTTCAATACCAAGGCCCCTCCAGTAGCCCGTTATTTAACAAATGCATATGCGCCAAAAAAGAAATTTTTAAAAAATTAACCTTCTAGTTAAATGGGGGCAGCCTGTGACTGCACAAAACTTGGCACAGAAAGAGAAAAAGAATATTTACTTAAATTCATAAGGAAACCCAGAGCGCTGTGTAGTTCAGCTGTCCATAAATGCCTCAGTACTGCCTTTACTTATGCTTCTCTCTTTGACTGAGCTGACACTACAGTCTACTTACATACCTCTTCGCTGTATAGTAAAGGACGATTTAGGTTTATTGCTTTGACTGATTTGTTCTGAGTCAGGGCTGTTGCTATTGCGATTAGACACTGCGTACCCTGGAAATGAAAATAAACAAACTCTTTAGAGAAACCTGTCCAACGTATAGATCAAGTTATCAAATTACCATGATTTCTTAGAATTGAGTGTCAGCACATCAGAAACATCAAATGGGCTCAGATTGGAAATACTATTATTTCTGCCTCCATGTACTTTGGAGAGGTGCAAGCGCAGCGGGCAAGTGCTTACAGACACAGAATGTATTTTCTGCTAATACCAATGCCAACTCCCTACAGAATAATAGAGTGGAATTAGACTAAGAAGTACAAATGACCAGGAAATTTGGCAACTCTGAAAATAAAAAGCAAGAATAATGCATCTCAAAGATACTTGTCCATTTAATTTATCCTGTATTTTGGTTTTTCTGATTTATGAATTAAAATCAGCTTGTGTGTGTTCCTGAGGTCTTTGGCGAAAGTCTTAAGTAATATTTATCCACTATGTAAATTCATACTAAATGTGTATTAATGTGGTACAGAGTAGTGAGAGTCTAGAATACAGGCCAGTTCAGATTTTTTTTATTTCCTTCTCATTTGCTCACTAATTTATATTTACATTATTTTCCAATTAGGCTCATCTATACACAAGCCTATTTAATTTTAAATCAGTTTTCTATCACCTCCCTACCAAGCATAAACATATTAAGCTTTCAAATAAATCCTACACTAGCTACACTTTCCTTGTTTATGTTTTCATAACACCCTTCAGAGTTTCTGAGAAGTATTCCCCCTTCTCGTTTAGAAGCAATTTCTGTAATGCCAGGAAACAAATACAATAAAATCTTCATCTGACCCCAGCTCTCTCCCTGCCTCCAGGTGACAGTCATAATTGCTAGGTTACAGTCAAACTTACTCCTTCTGCCCAACATACACTTCATTATCTCCTGAAAAGATGAACACCCTTAACAGGAAGGCTGAGAATGGCCCATCTTAATTTTACTTCTAGCTTAGAGCATTCTCCTAGCGGACAAGATGCAGGACCAAATTCTGCCAGGCAGAGAGAAGAACCACTTCCACCTTCCAGCTCCTCTGATGTGATCACACAAGGACATACCATCAGCCAGGCACTGGGACCTTGCACTGGGAGGAGGTTCACAGCTCCAATTGCTACCTCCTGCTGTACCCCACAGGTTTTTAAAAGCCATCCATAGGCTTTTACTGGCTAGAGTGGGAAGCACCCTGTTTAGTGCATTGACCCATTTCTACCCTCCTGGCTTTCCTTGTGCACTGTGTAAGAAGTCTCAGTGCCCAACTCCAGGAGGCGGCGAGTTACCTAAGATCAAATTAAGTGCCTTTCTACTCAATTCAGCACTCCTGTGCCTATGTCCTTTATGGATCAAGCTCTGATAGGAGCAACAGAGCTATGGGACTGGGTGACTTTCAGGCGTTATAGCACTGCACACTTCAGAAGGAAAAGAACCTCCAGGGAATAAGAAGTCCTTTCTTCAATATGAATTACACAGGACAGCATAACAAAAATGGACAGCAGAAACAAATAGCAGAAACTTGGAAAACATGAAAGCCAAGCACCTGAATTCCCAGAGACATAGTAGCTCTAATATATCATCAGTTATGACTTCACAGGCGTTTTATGCAACATGCCTTTCCGAGTAGACATTGCAATATTATACGTTGTCTTACCTCAAGCTATCTCAAAATATAAAATCAATGGCAACAGATGGCATTTTCCCCTAATTAAGCACCGCAGGACCTTTTTAATACCCTTGAAAGACTTACGTCATTGCTGATAATTGTACTGGGTTACTCACCATATCACAGTCTCCAAGATCCAGCTTCTCTAGGGTCGAATTCATTTGTAGCATTGAAGCAAAGAACATTCCACCTTTGTTTCCTATTTTGTTTCCAGTCATTCTTAAATACTCAAGAGTTTCATTCCTCTGGATGAAATAATAATTAAACAAATCAATTCCTTTTAAGTGGCCTGAAAAAACAACACTGTCCTTTTTCCTGGGAATCCTGCTGGTTGTCACACAAAGACAAAACATCCCTCCAGAAGAATTTTGTCGAAGTGATAACACCGACTAAGCAGTTGGCTCAGGCTCCTCTTAGTGGAATCAAGTGCATGACGGTCTGGAAGCAAAACTCAAGGATTTGAAAACTTTTGTTTCTCCCAAGTTCACAAATTTCACACTCATGAAAATAATCCAGGCAGATATTTCTGCCTAAATTGACAGCTAAAATGCAAATTGTATCAAAACTGATCCAAATCTAGTAAGCATATTTTAAACAAGAATGTAATTTGCTTTATTTTTCAGAGGCTTTTAAACCACATAGCCAGTCAAAGCACAGGGAAGCTGGTTGCCTT